TGCTGAAGCTGCATTTCTTTACTGAGAATGTAGTTTTTTGTTTTTGTTTTTGTTTTTGTTTTTGGTTGTTGATTAAAAGCAAAAGGTGTGCACTGAGAAGTTCCATTCTTCTGTTGAGTTTTTTTTTTAGTAATGAAAATGGTGTGCTGAAGCTGCATTTCTTTGTTGAGAATGTAGTTTTTTGTTTTTGGTTGTTGATTAAAAGCAAAAGTGTGAACTGAGAAGTTCCATTCTTCTGTTAAGTTTTTTTTTTTGGTTACTAAATTCACATGATATGATTGATTAAAGAGTTGAGAAGTTGAAGTCATGTACTGCAGTAATTAACAGCAGAGCAGATTTTTCTTAAGAATGAGGAGCTGAAGATGTGTACTGATACTGATATGAAGTTGACACTCTGGAATAATTGACATTCTGAACCATTGCAAGATAGGAGAGACTCTTGGCTTGGTTCAGGGGAACTGTGAATAAAGAAGTCAGACTGCGAAGTGAAGAAAGCTAAGAAGTCAGGCAGGGCCGGCTTAAGGGATAGGCAGGTGAGACCCCTGCCTAGGGCCCCAAAAAAAATGGGGGCCCAAATTTTTTATAAATTTTTTTTTTCGAATATCTTACAAAAATGAAAATGATTTATAATTTCTTATCTAAGTCAAGAGGCCAAAAAAAAAAAAAAAAAGCCAAAAAAGCTCAAATTTATTATAAACTTTTTACATATATTCCCCCCATCCAAAGTTTAACAAAATAGCAAGCTTGTACCTCTAGTTTTATATATTCTGGTTTATACCCTTAAATTAACACATTGAATCTGTTTTAACAATGGAATACTAAAATAATTATTTACATATCTCAAATTACTCGCCCCCAATTCAATCCCAAAATTTAACATTCACATAAATCAACCCTCTTCTGCCGCCAATGGTTTAGAGTTGATTTCAGTCAATTTTGGTTCCGGTCGATTTTCTCACCAAAATTGACCGAAATCATTATTTTATCATTTCCCAACCTTGATACCCCTCGATTTGACTAATTTTTTATGAATCTTGCAACCCAACTCCACCACACGACAGCCATTTTCAGCCTTTTTGGCATGTACTCAACATTGTTGGCCTTTCCCGACACCACCATCTTCCTCCCGTCAGTCCTCTCACCAAAATCCCTATCATACCTTATCTATTTACTCTGCCAATCGCCGGCCATCGATACCTTTTGGGCTGTGACTTCTTAAGCATTTTCTTATCAATCTTGGCATTGGAAATCACCCATTTCATCACCCATCACTTCTCCAACATCTACTCTCCAAAACCCCCCACTAACCTAACCTTGTTAGCTTGCCGGTTGCTGTCCACCTCCCCTAGTGATTTTTCATCTCAAAAGGCAAAAAATAAAAATAAAAAAATAATAATTTTTTAATATATGCTTATATTATTAGAGGGTCCCAAAGTAACTCTTGCCTAGGATCACAAATGTTCTAGAGACGGCCCTGAAGTCAGGTTTACAAAGAATAGACCTTGGCTTGGTTTCAGGGGGAATGTGGATCCAAGTGTCAGTCTATAAAGTTAAGGGCTTATTGTAAAAGTGCCAAAGTGATGTCGTTTCAATAAAGTTAACTACTCTGCTGCTGTAATAAGCTTTTGTTTTAATGGATCAGTTTGCAGTTCACGCTATTTCCTCTGATTTTCTTTATTAAACTGAAGTTTAGAAATTTTCTTCAAATTCCTTCAAGATTCACACATTGGACACTTACGTAGATCTATCCATTTCCAATAAGATCTATCATAAATTTGGTTAAAAATAGTCAGATTTATTATCAAAGATCTAAATGTTGTAACTCAATTTAATTTTTTCAAAAATATTATTCTAATTACTCAAACAAACACATTCTCAACTTTTATGAAATGGACAAAAACAATGAGTTAATAGTTTGATTGTGCTTCTTTTCTCTCCAAATTTTCTAATATCAATTAACTTTTGTGAAATGAACAAAAACAGTGAGTTAAGATCTCCAAATTAGACTGGACAGTTGAATAAATATTGTGAAAGATCACAATAATTTCGGGACTTTCAATGTTAGATTGGACAGTTGATTAAATATTGCGAATGCTCACAATAATTTCGGGACTTTTATGTTAGATTGGACAGTTGATTAAATATTGCGAAAGATCACAATAATTTCGTGTTAGATTAGTTGTCATCTTTTCTTTAACGTGCGTCAAAGAATTAATTAGAATTTATTAAGGGAATTTTATCACAGACAAGATCTTGCAAATCTTAAAATAGCAGCATCGTGTAACCACTAAGCACCAAAACCCTACATGAACTAGAAGTCGAGAATATATATATATATATATATGTGTGTCTGTGTATTTGTGCATTGAAGTAACAAGAATTGACAAATTTCAGTGACTCTTCATTTTTACTGTAACTATATAGGCAGATTGATCTTAATTTTTATCTGGCACATCTATATAATAAGGAGTGACCTCTTTTAAATTGTATATATCTTTTTTAAGGAAAATATTATCCTTATAAAGACAATACAAAGAAAATTATAAAGTGATATCAGAAAGAAAAAAATAAAGAAAAAAAAGAAAAAGAGGGAGAAAGAGTAAGAAAAATCATAAAAATAAAGAGTAAAAATTATCTTTGTATGTCCTCTTTATTTTTTTCTTTGTAAGACTAGTATTACTCTTTTTTTAATTAAAATTTTAAGAGTCCACTTGCCGATTTTCCTCATCCACAGTTTACTTGATAAATTAGCTTGAGCCACATAATTTAATTATTATATAAAAAGTACCCCACCAAAGGGAAATTGGATATAAATCACATGAATGTCATTTTAAAAATTAAAACAGTAAATTTTTTTTATTTAAAAACATGTAAAATATGATGAAATATATAAGTAAATAATATCAAGCTATGGGCCAAGGAACATACAGAGGAGATTTAGTTTCACGGTGCAGCTGAAAATTATTATAAAAGAAGATATTATAATGCCCCTATTTCAATCCCTATTCGAACCTCATCCTGATTGCCATAGTTATTATGTAAAATTACTTATTTTACTTTATAATGATAATATGATTAAGGAGATAAGATGAAAGATGAAGTAAGGAGGATGAAAGTGTAAAAAGAGATGGATATGGGTAGGGATGAGACACGAACGGAGTAGCTCGCGATCTACTCGGGCTCGGCTCGTCGTAAGCTCGAGTTCGACTCGAAACCAATTGAGTCGAGCTCGAGCTTGAGCGGCTCGTAAACAGTAACGAGCCGAGTTTGATTCGAGTTGAGCTCGGCTCGTCGAGCTCACGAGCTTAAACAAGCTTTGAGGGTCAATTTGCAAGATTTCAAAAGTTTTATTTTTAAGTTATCAAAATTACAAACAACACCCATGACCGATTCACAGACAAAAACGATAAACCTACTTCAAAGCTCAAACAGAAACTCAAAACCCATTTGAGATTTTTTCTTTCGGCTTCAAAAATCCAACTTCATTCATCTTCTCTTTTACCTTCATTCATCCTCGGTTCCATTTAAGCTTAGAATGTGAAAGAAAAATAATGAAGGAGAAAATCTGAAGGAGCAAAAGAAGAAAGAGAAGAGGAGGTGAGAACAGGGAAGAGAATATGGAAGAAGTAAAGTAGAAAAAGAAGAGAATGGAGAGAAAGAAAAGAAAAAAAGACGAAGGAGAAGATCTAAGAAGTAAGAAAAGAGAAGGAAATAAGGCAGAAAGAGAAGAGGACGGGGAGAAAGGAAAAAAACAGATGAGGTGATAAAATGAGGTGATAGGTGAAAAGAAGATAGAGAAAATGAGGGGAGAAAGAGAAAAAAAATGAGGTGATAAGCTGATAGGTGAAAGAAAGAAAGAGAAAATATCATATTTTAGTACTAAGCTTGATTAAGCAAGCTCGAGCTCGAGCTCCAGTGTACCGTTATAGTACCGAGCTTAAGCTTGAACACGAATATTGAAACTTGATTGAGCTTGAGTTTAAGTTTGATATTGTTTATCATGAGCTAAGTTCGAGTACCAAAATACTTCACTCGGCTCGTATACATCCTAAATTTATTATGGGCTCCCATTCCAATTGATATGATATGAGAGATAAAAAAATCTCCATATACTTTTAGATGCCCACTCTAAAGGCTTAAGTAGCCTTCAAAATATCTTGAAGAAAATTAAAGAGAGAAACATCATCTTTATCCTAATACTGTCACTTGTCGTTCATGAACTGACACATACAGTATTCAATTAATGACCTTCATTATGTTTCCATGGCTAAAGGGTCCACAGCATCATTTTACAACTTGAACTTGTTGTTGGTCATCTCTTTTGTGCATTTACCATCTCAAAATAAAACATCTTTCAAAGTCGCATCTTTTGAGTTCCGGTGCCACTTATTATCTACGATATTTACGTATAAACAAAAATAATTTATTATAATTTCATAAATATAATATATAACAGTACACAAAACCGTCAATTTAATACAAAATTGATAGAGCAAAAACAATTCTAATTTTTAATCATGCTTAATTCAATAATTAAAACAAAAATAAATAAAAATAATCTCAATTTCTAAGGCACTCTATTGATAATGTTTAATAACCTTACATTAAATATTTTATGTTCTTATATTCTCTCATAACCTTGAACTGGTTCTCAACTCTATATTTAGAAGTACTATATAATATATTTTATTTCTAACACGATTCATATTTCAATTTTTGATAAGAGTTTATAATTATATTCTTATTTATAATTATATTTTTTATTAAATAATTTTCTTAAAAGTAAACAATTTTACATCAAACAAATAGAAAAATCAATTACAATATCCCAAAAAAAAAATTAATGTTATATGTAGTGCATAATTAAAATGTGATATTTTCTCAAATGCATGTTGCATGTCTACAATTTCAGTACATTTTCCTAGATAACTCCTTTTCTGGGTCACTTCCTGGGTGGGTCGGTTACTAAAACATTGCTATATATAGACCTCAATATCTTACACAAATCACACGAACAATTATAAGTGGCCTAGGAATAAGCTTAGATAGATCCTAAAGATGCATTTGGTGAATGGAGAACATGATAGCGAGCTTCTCCAAGCTCAAGCTCATGTTTGGAACCACATTTTCAGCTTCATAAATTCCATGTCTCTTAAATGCGCTATTCAATTAGGCATACCAGATGCAATCCACTACCATGGAAAACCCATGACCCTTAACCAGCTGATTACTGCCTTACCAGTTCACCCCTCCAAAACCCTCTTTGTCTACCGCCTCATGCGTATTTTAACTCACTCTGGTTTCTTCACATTACAAAAAGTTAGTGAAAATGGTGAAGAAGAAGAGTACGTTTATGCTATCACCACTTCTTCACTACTCCTCCTTAAGGACAGCCCCTTGAGTGTAAGTCCTTTTCTTATGGCTATGCTCAATCCTGTGTTAACAACACCATGGCACCATCTCAGCACTTGGTTTCAAAACGGTGATTCTACTCCTTTCGATACAGCTCACGGGGAGAAATTTTGGGAGTATGCTGAGAAAGAGCCAAAGGTTAACCATCTTTTCAATGAAGCCATGGCTAGTGATGCCCGATTAGTTACTAGCGTGGTGATTGATAAGTGTAAGCATGTGTTCAAGGGGCTGAAGTCGTTGATCGATGTTGGTGGTGGCACTGGAACGGTGGCTAAGGCCATTGCTAAAGCTTTTCCCAACTTGGAATGCACTGTATATGATCTTCCACATGTGGTTGCTGACATGCAAAGCCATGACAATCTCAAATATGCCGGAGGCAATATGTTTGAGGCTGTTCCTTCTGCAGATGCAGTCTTACTTAAGGTAATTTTGAAGTTATTACTCTCAGTCTCTTCTTCAACGTAATATTTTTTCTATCCTTGATGATATTTATTAGTTGTTGTTTCATGTTTGAAAAATTTTACTGACGTGGTGATTGATAAGTAGTGGATATTACACGATTGGAGCGATGAAGAATGCGTGAAGATTCTGAAGAAATGTAAGGAAGCGATTACAAGCAACGGGAAGATGGGGAAAGTGATTATAATAGACATGTTGGTAGAGAAGAAAGAAGGGAATGATGAGTCGACTGAAACGCAACTCTACTTTGACATGCTGATGATGGTGTTGGTTTCAGGGAAAGAGCGAGATGAGAAAGAATGGGCCAAGCTTTTCCTGGAGGCTGGTTTCACTCGCTATAAAATAAACCCAATATTAGGTTTAAGGTCTCTCATTGAGGTTTATCCTTGAGAAGCTGGCTACTTTTTTTTTTCATGAAAACGTGTTCTGGTTTGTGATCAGAGTGTCTATTATTTTGCAATATTTAAAGAGTGCTCTGTGGGAAAAAAGTATTTTATTTTAGATCTGTGTTTTTAATTTAATTAATGCCCTCTAATGAGTGGAAATGTTATATGAAATAAATTCAAGCAATAATTACTGATTTGAGTTTTTGTTTTCCATTAATGATCCAAGATCCCTTTATTCACAAATATTAGGATTAATATTAGAATAATTGAAAAGATCTCCATATACATCTACTTAATTTATATAATTAATAGTATGCTGTAGTAAAAAGGATTAATAGAATATATACAAACTTACTTAGACAAATTGATATATTTAAATATAACTGAATGTCTTAAAATTAGAGATAAATTAAATAATTTGTTAACATAGAGGATTGTCACATTAATTTTCAAGAAACAGTTTAAACTCATCTACATCAACTTGTATGATTGATTTTTATACATTACATTATTCATAATATAAGTTATGAGTGAAACAATCAATAACTATCCTAATATTTTGTGAATTCTTATGACAAAACCAATCTAATACTTTAGTTATTAATTAATTAATTAGAGTTTTAAATATGTATGAGACCTATATACGACTGTTATGGAGATCATTACAGTCCCACCCTACCTAGATTAAAAAAAAAAAAAAGTAGAGCCACACGGATCGTCTAATCGGTCGGCCTTGAGGTCATTTCGATGCACTACTCTTAGTAATTGATACGCACGTTTAACTCATTTTAGATAACGGGTCCAATCATCATAGTGCATCTTTTCTATATCAATTTAATAAGTTCAATCAATTAACTTTTATGAAATGGACAAAAACAATGAGTTAATCGTTTGATTGCGCTTCTTTGCTCACCAAACTTTCTATATCAATTAACTTATATGAAATGAACAATGAGTTAAAGATCTATAAATTAGATTGGACAGGTAATTAAATATTGTGAAAGATTACAATAATTTTGTGACTTTTGCTGTTAGCTTAGCTGTAATCTTTTCTTTAACGTGCGTCAAATAATTAGTTAGAATTTATTAAGGGCATTTTATCACAGACGAGATCTTGCAAATCTTGTTTATTGATTTTTTTGACTAAGTGACACTATGTATATAATTTATAATGTCATAGCAGCATCGTGTAAGCACTAAGCACCAAAAATGCCCAAGCCCTACATGAACTAGAATATATATATTTTATGTGTTTGTGCGATGAATTAGCTAGAATTGACTGTTCATTTTTACTGTAACCAGATATAAGATTGATCTTAATTTTTATCTGGTACATTTATATCATAATAAATCACCCCTATCTTTTTTTAATTAAAATTTAAAAGCCTAACTTGCCCTATCTATTTTTTTTTTTTTTTATCACTTAAGGGCATTCAAACCCGTTTAAGTATATCTCAACTAATCTTTTAAGACCTTGAAACTGTCGGTTTGATAAAAGTCTCAATGATCACTTTTATTAGTGTTTGAGAAGACTCAAACTCAATTGCTCATAAAGCACATTTTATTGTTTTATCATCAGGCCACCAAATGATATTTAACTTCCCTATCTTCCTCATCCATAATTTACTTGATAAATTGGCCTGAACCACATAATTTAATTATTATATAAAAAGTACGCCACCAAAAAGAAATTAGATATAAATCACATGAATGTCATTTTAAAAATTAAAACAGTATTTTTTTTTTATTATTAAGTTATGTTTGATTTTATATTTAATATTTGGGTCTTGCGTTATCCTTATCATTTGAAGTGATATTACACATCTAAGAGGTTGAACTTACGCACATGGAATCCTCTTCAGCTTTATCTACGTTTACTGCTCCCATAAATACTAGTTTATCTGGATCTTCTTCTAAGGTAGACAGTTTGTATGAAATATCTTATATCCTAGAAAATAAAAAAATCCAAGACACTATCCCTCCCATTGTAAATCCTTATACAGCCTTTTCCAAGTCCTCGTCTTCTTTGTCTAAAACCTTTAAAACTCTTGTCAAACCTTCCAAAAAGCCAGTCAAAGAGTATGTCCAGACTAGTACTTTTGACAAGTGTCAAATTCCAGCCACAACCCAAGAACAATATGTTACTTTAGAAATCCCTCAAGAATCCATTACTCAATGGATCCATGAAAGATACTCTCATGTACACTTTGGCGCTATCTGGCTCGCCCTATCTTATCATGGCAGAAAAAGACTCCCAGTCTCTGTTTGAATTGCTTTATTGGACACCAGATTTGTCCAATATCAACATGCCTGTATAGAGACAGCACATACAACTTTGAATGCTGGGACAGTCATTATGACACTGTTTCCTAATTTCAACATGTTCCTCTCTGATGTTCATTGCTCAAATGCTCTTAAAGTTCAATTACAGATCGTTGGGGCAGATTTAAATCTAGGAAGTATTGCAGCTACTTTGCATTATCAAATGGTTTGGCGAATCCAAGACCATGCTCTTGATCTCGCTATCCCTACAACTACTAATGCACTGCTCCTTACTGTTGACTCTCAGAATACTCCTCACTGCATCAATATTCCCAGGTAAATTTCCAGAGATGATTTGATTAAATTGTTACCCGACTCTTGGGTGACAAGTTACGAGTCTCTTAACAAAAAAGAAACTCCGGTGGTTTCTACAGAATCTACCATGCATGATAACAGTGATGGATTAACAACTATCAGATTTAAGTCTCCAGCAACTCCCAGTGCTCTACCTTTGAGTTTTCGACAAACTCAATTCATGATTACTTCAGTCATACCCACTATAGTAGTATGGGAACCTAGACTTTCCATTCATTCTTTTCAACAATCTGGTGCTCCTGTCTATCATCAATATGATCCAGTCACTGGTCACACTCCATTTGATCTTGACTGCCAATGCTCGGAATGCCATGATGATCCTATTTGGGAAATCGATGAGCATTATCTTCCAAGATGAAACTATTTCAACCAGAAAAAGAAGAAAGCTCGCTGCAGTCAGACAGATCTTCATTCCCGATTTGAAGACCATGATCCTGAAGTTGGTCTTCTTGGTCAACCGTCTGGCGAATTTGACTATTATGTCAAATATTCTCTACCAGCCAGGAAAGATTCACCATCCAGTAATCCCTCATGGGACATCCCTCCAAAACTTCAACCTAAATCACCTTTACAACTATCCAAACCTACTAAATCACCTTACTTCAAACAGCCTTTACCATGTTATCAACAGTCTCTCAGGTGGATTGCCAAAGAAAATAAACCAACCCATTCACCCCTTGCTCATACTCCACCTGTTCAGTCCGTTATGATGATCCAATCCCCTGAGCCCACAAAGACAGGACATCATTTCAATTATGACACAGAATTTCCTTCCCTTCAAGAAACTGCCACTCAACAACCAAAAGTGGTTCCTTCCAAAATTATACAGCCTGATGGATCTACACCCAAACTCTCCCAAGCTGAAGCAGTTCTCAATTAGCAGACTGAAAATGCTTTAGCCCCAGACAAAACCATTACTAGACTTGAACAAAAACTGGATTAGTAGCTCATCAGGTGGACTCTCAGTCTCAAAACCAAACTATGCTGATTTCTCGGCTACAAAAACAAATTGATCATCTCCAAAACCGGATTGATCAGCTCCATCAGGAATTAATGCACATTGTCAGCAGCTCTCATGGCTATTTAGCTTAGTTTCTCTAGAAGGAAGTAGAAATGAAGTCATTAAAAACCCAAATGACATTGCTTTAGATGGAATATCTTAAGCAAAAACTCAAACAACCACAAACTTTCCCTGAAATGTCATTGGTACCAAACCCTTTTGACTCCACAACAGCATGGCCACAACCCTCTTTTTCCCCTTTCCCAAAAATTAGCCAACCTTTGGTCTCACCTCATATACCTTCAGGTGCTGTTCAAGCTTTTGGCAATACTGAACAGTTATATGCCAAGCTCCGCAAAGAACGTGATGAAAAGATCAAGCTGGAAAGAGAACAAAAGAAGCGAGAAAAGTATTCTGCTAGACAGCAGACCCCATCCCCTGATATTCCGGACTCTTTCTCTTCCAGTCATTCAGATCCTCCATCTACTAGGCCTCATCATCCTTTATCTAAGGATAAGGCTCCAATGCACATAATAATGATGGAAGACCGCCAACCTTCTGCTAATCCTGACTCCTCAGAAAATCCCGTCTCTTCCAATTTTATGAGCACTTTTTTGAGAGACATGGCAGAAAAGCAACGCCTTGCCGCTTCGGGTCTTTCTCAGGATTCTCTATCTACCTTCCACACAGAATCAGAAGCTGATATACCTTTGACTGATGAATCATTTGAAAGTGACTTTGACTCTGACAGTAATACTTCTGATCAACATCCTAATGTTTATCCCCAACTGATGACCCATCAACCTGAATCGTCAAGACCACCTGTTGTTTCTGAGGTCGATGATGAGATGCTTGAAGGTGATGATTCCATTCCAGACTCTCCGCCTATGTATCGACAATCTCGTCATACTCCAACTGAACGTGACTCTTATAGAGCTTCAGCAAAGCTCCACACTTTTGCCATCGATGATCTTCCTCCACACAAATGGAGAACTCGGATGTATGAATTTCAGGCCTGGTTACAAGCTGAGATGCTGAAACCTAATGCCCAAGTCTCTACTGTACTTACACAGTTTACAGCTAGATTTGGTGGCATTCTCCGTGATTGGTGGATAAGTCTTCAGGAGTATAGACAAAATTTGTTCATCCAAATGCTAGATATTAACCAAGCTCTGTATCTTCTGTATTATGAATTCTGTGGATTACCTCACCTTTATGAGAACCATGTCAGAGAAGAATATTTCAAGATGCGATGCTGTTCTCTAAAAAAGAAAGATCTTGACAGGCATTACAAAGAGATAGTAAAACGATATCATATACTTAGGGGTATGGATGATCCTAACATGAAGCAAGCCTTTTTGGCATCTATTCCTGAATCCCTAAGTCATGAAGCAACCAAGCTTATGTAGTCCCAGAACAAACCACTTGGATCCACTTCTCTTGGCGAAATTTATCAGTTTGTTGTTCTTGCTCTGGAAAAGCTCTGTTCTCAAAAACAATTTTTTGATGATTATATGAAGTGTTCTAAACAGCTGACAAAGGTTTGTCAA